CCCTACCCTCCAGCAGATCAACACTGTCACCCAACTTAGTGCCATCTGCACACTGACTGAGGGAGCACTCAATCCCCTCATCCCAATCATTGATAAATATGTTAAACAAGAGCGGCCCCAAGACTGAACCTTGGGGACACCACTTGTGACTGGCCGCCAACCAGTCTTTACGCCTTTTACCACAACCCTCTGTGCTCTGTCCTCCAGCCAGAACTGACTGCACTCTGGCTAGTCAGTGCAGAGCTGAAGCTAGCCTTGTACTAACAGACACATCATCCCTTCTGGGCTCTAAATAACATCAAAAAGGCATCTTTGAGCTGGGGTTAAGAACAAACTGGGATTAAGAGTTGGCTGTCATCTATCTATGTGAGGAGCATTGTCTTTTTAAAGGTCTGATTGAGACAGTATTTGTACAGCGTATATTGGTGGGTCTGTGTCTGTAAATAACATAAACAATGACACCTCTCTGACATCGTGAACATTCTTCCATGCACTTCCTGCAGATCATAAGTGGATTTTCACACTGAAGTTAATCTTTTCATTTTCAAGAGAATATCAGCTTCGTTATGTTCTTGCAGACAGAATATATGCAAATATTCACTGGGTCACTTCATACTCTTCTGCCAAGAGCTAGATTGTATTGGAATATGGGTATCTGTGGGATGCATAGTGGCCTGAGTGTCTTTTCATTGTTTGATTTAGCATGTATGTTGTGTGGGGTGGTGTTAATAGGAGAGACTCTATCCCTGTTCATCAGAAGGAATTTCAAGCGAGACAGATATTATTTAACAATTTGTATCTGCTTAAGTAAATTGGTTCAATGCTGATAGTGAATAACTTGGAAATCATGCAACCAACTCGGGTCTGCTACGTTAACATGCTGTCCTTTCCCGACTGCCATGCAGATTAGAAATGATAACATAATGGACTTTCAGCCATTGAAAATGTAACTCAGAACTCAAAATCTACTGTCATCTAAATTAGCAGGGCACATTCATGTTCTTTTTCAGGGCTCACATGTTTTGCTACTCTGCTGTGTTAGTTCAGTATGACTATTGGCTAAAGTCCTGAAATGTCTGTGTATCACTGTATGGCGTCTTTGCATACAAACCAGTGTCAATGGAAATACCACATGCTTACATCACAAGATGCTTCATCTTACATATGTAGGTAGCTAACAAAACACCATCTTTCAATTACTGCTAAGCAACGAGTCTTCTGGAGAACTGAGGAACACTCAATCTGATAAAGCTGATTTGAGTTAAATACTTTTAGTCAACTAATTCTCACTTCCTTTTTCATTCTGCTTTCATCAGAGCTGTTTTTACAGTAACTTTTGAATGCTTCTAGGAGAATCATTTTAGGTCTTCTGGGCATTGTTTGGCTAGTATGGTAAATTGGAACTGTTTAGATCCTTATGTGAAACCCATAAATTGGGAAGGGTGCATGCCGTAGGGAATCTGTTCATTTGGTTCCTTGATTACCTACAACCATCCAGCCATTACATCTGGGAGTCTTACTGGAAGCTCTTCACTGCGGCCACGCAGCATCTTAGTCGGCAATGCCAGCTCTCTGAAACAGTGGAATTAGCCTGGGCGCTGAAAAGCAGGTGATATATTTTATTTTTATTTTGTGTGTGTGGCTTCTGCTGGAGGCAGGTTCTGAGTTCTAGAGCATTATGTCTGTCCTGCCTTGTCTTAGAGAAGTGTTTCCTTTTGTTCAATTTAGGAATCAAAAACTACTACTGAAAAATCCAGAGGTAGAAGCCCGAAGCCAGCAGAATCCTCTTCACAGTCCTCCAAACATCCTTTCCAGTTGGCCAATATTTATGAATATTATGATGCAGGGAACCACTGGTGCAAAGACTGCAATACCATCTGCGGGACCATGTTTGACTTTTTCACACACATGCATAATAAGAAACACAGACAGGTATGTTGCAGGCTTCCTTCACTAAATGCTAAATTTCATACTGCTATAAATATGAACACTAAAACGTACATCACAGAAGTACATTTTACAAGAGGACCTGAAGCAATAATGAACCCAAGAAGTTGCTTACCAAATTCTTTTTCCCTAAAGTTGGACTTGAGCAGTTTCTACAGCTACCAGTGTGTTGTGACTAGTGTAAATGGGCCCGTGTTCAGTTTGCTTGGTAACTAGCCTTAGGTACTTGTGTTATGTTTACCTGTTCTTTGCTATCATTTACATTTTACCCTTTTCACAGGTTATTTTCTCATTCTAAATTGCAAAATGGGAGGGGAAAGAGAGGAAAACATAGTTCCTGTAAATATTTGCACGTTGATTTTAAAGTTCAGTGTTCTGAAAGGATGTTAAAAAGGAAAAAGACAAGTGTACTTGCCTTGCTAGTGTAATATATGAGCCTGTGTGTACCTCTGTCACTGTGCAAATAGACCCTGGATCCTTACAACAGACCTTGGGCTTCGAAGACCCAGAGTGAGACCAAACAAGACTCCATAAAACGCATCGATAAGATAACTGTTCCTGCCAAAGGTATGTTAACTTGGGTATCATCTCCCTTTGCCCTGCACCAGGTTCCAGTTGCTGAGAGAAAGGAATTTCAAAACTTTACTGTGTTATAGGAGCACATACAGATACTGTATTGTTATGTAAAAGGCGAATGATTTAATTTCCTGATGGTTCTTGTGGAAAAGTTCATGAATAGCATGGTTCCTTCTATTCTTATTAGTGCTTAGGGTTTTTATTCTGAATACCAGGTGACTTTTTCTTTCTCCAGTGTAGCTCTGAAATGGTTTTTGCTAATGTATTAGAATTCAGAACATGACTGCAAGAGCTTGCTGTGTTTGGGCACATCTTGTGTGGTACTCCATGGTCTTGCAAGAGACTCTTCTGTTCAATACATTGTAGAGGTGTCCCTGAAAAATCACAGATGAGTACTGGGTAGAGCGTGGACACATGGAATCTGAGAAAACCATATGGAAGGGGCTGTAAGTGGTTTGAAAATTAATGCAAGATTTAAAATCTGAATACCTAAATAGGCCTGTGTCCTGGTTTAACTGAGTGATCAATTTCAGTTTATTAATCTGTTACGTACTTCTAGTAGTGCCCGCGAAAGGAGAGTCTGCAGTATGTTAGATAACTGCAAGTTGGTTCTGTAGGCACAGGGATACAGTTTTGCTGAACTATACTTAGTTCTTTTTATAAACCAGGAGGTTAGTATTTGAGCAGACTATACCACAAAGATTAAGACTGTAGGAAATGTTAACTGACTTGAACAGCAGATAGCCTTACTATGATGGAGAGCACTAAAATAATTTTTTGAATCATAGTAAGCAAACTTCTTCACTTTACATGGTTGCTCCTGGTTGTGGTGTTGCCCGTACTGTAAGCACAGGGAGAGCAGCATTAACTGTTCCAAAAGGAACATTGCTGGAGGTTTTGCGGTTGTCCTTTGATATGTTTATCTGGCTTTGATAAGAGCTTGACATTTATTAAGTTTTGGTTTTCTGATCATTTTCTTCGGCCTTTTCAGGCTCTGAGTTTCTGATTCCCATCACTGGATATTATTGCCAGCTCTGTCATGAATTCTTTGGAGATCAAATCTCTGCAGAGCAGCATGTGAAAAGTCATCCCCACAATGAGAAATATAAGGTTGGTAACTGGTGCACCAGGAGTGAGTCATTCCTTGTCTTAGCTTCTACTTGCCCTGTCTCCCTGTGCTGAAGAATGACATTTGACTCCTTAGAGTATATGTATTTGATTATCTTCACCACGTTCTACTGAACTAAATAAGCAGGGCTTCCCACCATATAGAGACTGATCTTTCATCTGCATGAGGTTGAAACGGTGTTTAAGTCCCAGTGTTGATTTTCAAACTCTTCTGTAAAGTGACAGCACTGCTGCAAGCCACCACTCAATTTACATTAAATTATAGAATGTGGAGTTGTAGCATCTCAGTTGCTTCATAGGAAGAAGTTCTCTGCTCTCTTAGTGTTGAGATGGCACGTACTGAAGAAGTCAGCACTGTTACAGAGCTGAATTTATTTATTTTTCATGGAAGCAGGGGCTAAAATCGTGACATTTATTTCCACAGAAATACATAGATGAAAACCCACTCTATGAAGAGAGGAGAAATCTAGACCGTCAAGCTGGATTGGCTGTAGTTCTGGAAACAGAGCGCAGGCGGCAGAACGAGCTGAAACGGAAACTAGTCGAGAAACAGAAAGAAGAGAAGGATGAGAAGAAACCAAAAATATTAAAGAAGGAGGAAGCAAAGAGCATCCCAGAGCTTGGTGAAGCAGCTAGTGAAACTCAAGGAAAAATAGATTCTTCTGGGCGAAAACTGGGTATCAAGCTTAAGCTGAAGAAGGAAGATAAGGAGGACAAAAAAGAAGAAACAAAGGAGGAACCTAAAAAGGAATCACCAAGCCAGACTTCCTTTGGGAAATTCAGCTGGAAAAAGACTGAAAGAGAGGATAAAACCCCAGGAGGAACTATCCCAAAGGAGGACAGTACAGAAGGAAGCAAAGAGGAGAACAAGTGTCAGTCTGGGAAACCCCATGTTAAGCCCATTGAAATCAAGCTGTCTGGGAAAACTGTTATTCCACACACTAGCCCATGGACACCAGTGGTATTCACATCAACACCAGCAAAATTTCTACCCAATCTGCCAGTCCCCACCATGATTTTCAGGAAGTCTACTACTGCAACAGTTAGCAAACCGGCACCTTTGAACACCTTTTTGTCCATAAAATCCTCTGGAGCTACCACCAAACCACTGCCTGTGGTAAAAGAAACCAGTGCAGATCTGCTGCTGCCCCCGGATATCATCTCAAAAGCTTTTGGGGGAGAAGAAGTAATTTTAAAAGGGGCAGAGGAGGATTTGAAAGCAACAGAGAAAAGTGAGTCTTCTCAGACTTCCGATATACCACCTCCACCGCCTCCTCCACCAGCAGTCCAGCAGACAGCTGTCATCCCTGCAGATGAGGTAGCTCCAGGTGTGTCTGAAAGTGAACAGACAATGCTGGCAATGCCTGTGAGACCCCCTCCACCACCACCACCACCACCACCATCTTCAACTGCTTTCAGTGAACAGGCAAAAAAGGTAGAGAAACGAAACTCTTGCTTGGCCACAGCCAATGCTAAAGATCTCTATGATATTTTCTACAGTAGTGGTGGCAAGGGTTCGGCTGACAGCAAGCTTGCAAGTTCTGCACTTCTGAATGGAGAAAACTGTAACCTAACAAAGCCTGCAGACTTCTCTGCAAACCCTAGAACAAATAATAGCTCTTCCTCCCTCAAAGGGGATTCTCAGAATATGGCTTCTGGTATCCAGATGCCTGCAGAAACTGGACTTGTGGATATAGGTGATAGAGAGCAGGTAGGCTGTCAGGAACTCTGTGGTCTACAGAAAACAGAAGTCCAAGAGAAAGTTGGACAGGAAGATGCAAATAAATCTGTAGTTACTCACAGAAAAGTTCCTGATACCTTGGAGAAAGATGCAGAGATGAAAGACTGGGAAGTAAAAGCAGTAAAGCCTGAGCTTAGCTTACACCCAAAGACTTTGTTCCCTGAAACACAGAGTGACATTCAAAGTTTGGGAAATTCCCATTTGGTAGAGGAGAAGTTAAGTCATAACTGTAGAACTCCCTCAGAAGCTGATAGTCCAGACTGGCTCTGTGATTCCCAAAACACTTCAAAAGACAAAGCTTTAGTAGCAGCAACAACAGAGCAGAATTCTGTTGATGCCTGCTTAAAAGATGGAAAACTAAAAAGTGTAGCTTCAGAAGTATCTCAGCCAGGAGTCCTCGGTGAAGCGTCCCAAATTTCAGAAACCCAAAATAAGGTTTCAGAATTGACAGGAAGTCCTGGTGAATGGGACACTTCCAGAACTAGTAATGGAGAAGAACAGGTCATCAAAACCAGTTCTAGCTCTGAAAGCGGTTGGGACCTACCGAACACTCCAAATGTAGAAATAAAACCTGGTTCTAATGAAGCTGGTGCGTCAGAATTGGCGGAGGTACGGCCAGACACGTGCCTCGCCAACACAGAAACTAGAAGTAGCGTACTAGAAGCTCAAGAAAAAGTTCGACTTGAACCTTCAGGCCATGCAGTATTAGACAACCAAACCCAAAGGCAGGAAGTTGCCTGGTTGGTCAACACCTGCCCTGCGAGCGTTGTTGAACTCCGATCCAGTGTAGAATTAGTAGCTGAAGTTGAAAAAAAATCGTTAGGACACACTGGATCTGATGAAACGTTACATAATGTTTTTATCAAGAGAGATGCAAAAGAAGTAGGGACTGGAGGCTTTTCTAGGGCTCGCTCTGATCATGTCCAGGAGTCAGCAGATTTCCGTAAGGAGCATCTTTCAGAAGATGCTGTCCACTCCCCACATACAAAGCATGAGGTCATAAGAACCTCAGCAGCTAATGACTTTCATCTGAATACCACTCACTCAGGATTGGACACTGAGCAGTCTGAAAGTCTCTCTGCAGATGCTTGTGTGGATAACAAAGTTTCTTTGACATCAGAAGATGTCAAACAAAATGAGACTTCCTCCCAGAAAGCAGAGCTGAAGTTCAAAAGCACTGATTTCAGTTGGGGAGATACTAAGGTAAAACAGGAATGCTGCAGCATCCTTGCAGCGGGACTTTTAAATGAGAATATGGAAGAAGTCTCAAAACTTGAAACTGTTGCATCTGTTAGGCTGGAGGCCGGTAAACTTAAGAAGCTGGGCATTGAAAAAACAGTAGCTGACACAGAGGTTGGTAGTTGGGAAGGTAAACTTTGCACACGGGTTTCTCAAACAGCTGTGCCACAGCTTGGATTGCAGTCCTCAAATAGTGACACTACGGGAGTGGTCATGGCGGTTCCAGAAATGCAGGGCATTTCTCCCAAGTCTGAGATCCTTCTGCAAGTGGAGGAGGGCGAAGGTGGTGCTGTTGAAATGCCATCACGGAGTTGTGACGGAGGCAGCACAGAAAGTCAGGCTTCTGGGTGTGTGGAAGCATTCCTTCCTGGGCTCAAAGAAGCACATGGAAAGGAGGGTGGCTCAGCAGGCAAGGGAGCACGCACCATCCAGAGCACGAAGACTGAGCAAACAGAAGCTACAACAAATTCAGGAGTTGCTGAAAGCTTAGCAGAAAGCCCAGTGGGTTGAAGTGAACCCAGCCAGTCCCAATATTTGAGGAGCCAGAGCTGGGATTATGTATATGTTTTTTGTTTGTTTCTTTGTTCCAGTTGAGGGTTTTGGGTGTGTTTTGCATCCTGTGGTAGGACTTGACTAAAGTGAAACTTATCGGAAACCAGACACATACTTTATTCTGTACATAATTAATTGTGTAAAATGTTTTTTTCATGTGAATTTTTTTGCCAATTTCTTTTCTACACTCTGCTATTAAAATGGAATCTCTCGTTTATAATGCGTGCGTCTCTGTTGTTTATTTTGGGGGCTTTTATTCTTTGACCGTTCTTGGATGATTTCCAGCTCCACCCTGTTTGTGTCAGTAGCACCACGAGTAGCCCAGCTGCTGGGACAAGCTCAAGAACAGCAACTTAGAACTTGAGGAAATGGAGACTTGCAGAAGAGCTAAAACTGAAAATTTCTTTCGACTGTAATGCATGATTTTGTTTACTTTCACATTTGAAATGCAAGAATGTGATTAGAGTTGATTTCGTTCATTTGTTTATCTGTCTCTGTGATTTGTAATTCCTGTTGTATTACCTCTGTACTTAAGCTGTTTCACGGTGTTGTATATGCACATGTATGGATGCCACATCACTAAGCAAGGGGAGAAAATCTGTCCGACTGGCTTTTGGAGAAGAAGACTAATCGGTAAGGCTCTGTGGCCTGACACCCGGACCAGAGAAATTGAGGTCACTTACATGATTTGAAATGGGCTTTCTTTCATTGTATTGTGATCCAGTAACTGTTTGTGTTAAATCGTTTAGCAGCTGGCCAGCTCTGAAGAAGCAGAAGATCAGAACCCTGGTGTCAGGAATTGGACTCGCTTCATGTGATACAGGCATGCCTGCCCTGAATGGTCCTTGAGCTGTCAGAAGCTCTAGTGTGATGGTTCTCATTTGTATAGCTTGTTAAAGTCTAAAGTATTAAATGTGTTTGCTTGGATAAATATAACATTTTTATTTGTAAATTGTTTAAAAAATAAACATACGGTGGTCAACAAGACTTCTTCTTGATTTTTTTTTTCTTAAGGAAAATGTTTTATTTCTAACTCCTGTAGTAGCTGATAATATTGAGAAACTGTAGGCGATGAAGATACTCAATGGTTAGCCTGCTCAGTAAATAACTGATTTATCCCCAGCTGAAGTCAATGGAAGAACTACCCTCAGCATCATCAGTGGAAATCTGTTTGACATCCTGAGCGCTGTGTAAAGCTGGAGGGAGGGGGAACCCAAGCAGAGTTCGTATTTCCGTAATCACTACCAGCACATGGACCTCCAGAGGCAGGACAAATAATGATGTTTCTTCTGTTTCCATGACTGTGTGTGAAGAAGGTATGATACATTTTTCAGAGTCATTACGGTGGTTTTTGTATTAGAAATGTAAGAACTATCTAAACTTAATTTGGAAATCTGGTATAAATGGCCAAGTCACCAAAAAACATAGTTAAAAAGGGAAGAGAGTTTTGAGGAAGGCTCTTTGAGCTGTTTTTATGATATTGAGTAGTTACTGCATTGAATATAAGAAGTCATTGTTAGCATCATTGCCCTACTTTCTTCAAATAACCATTTGATGTCACACCCAAAGAAAGCAAGGTTTGACATGCTTTGATACTCACTTTAAAATGGAGTTGGGTGGTGGGTAGAGACTGCTTAAATCCTGGTTTATAAAAAAATCCTTTGTAGTCGTTCCTCAGTTTGCCTCTGTAAATTTTTTTAATTATCCATCTTGAGTTTATTCATTTACATTTGACATCTAAATTTTTCCCCCCCCGTTTCTCTCCCAGTTTATTCAGTGAAGTGCCTGGTCACTTGTAAATCCACGGAGAAAGAGGGGAACTGATTTTCTTGCCTACCTTGTACTGCGTGATACCAGTGCAGGGAAGGGAGATAGGTTTTAGATGGTGCTGTTTTGGAATATGGACATGCTTTCTGGTTAGTTTCCTTTTGCAGATTGGTTTTCATGAAGGTCCCAGTGCACGCAACGGCCAACAGAATCATCTGGACAATCATCTTCTTCAACCTTATTCGATGCTGTGGGGAAAGGACGTCAGTATAAATCCAGCATCCTCGTTACCTGCTCTCCTACAGTTGCTTCTACAAGTAGTGGCGATGTTCAGTGCTGAGCCTGGCTGGCCACTGATGGAGAGCAGCTGGCACCGAGGGAAAGCAAGAGCTTTGCAAATGGGAAACGGAGCATTGTTACCCCGTGTTTGTCTTCAGCTTTCTGGAAGCTGAACCTTCCTGTGCTACAAATTCAGCAGTACTTCTCTTCATGCCCTTTATTCGAGTAATTATTCTCCTGTCCCTGCGTGGAGTAGGGTTCTGTGTTCCACACTGGAAGAAAGATGGATTTGGTCTTTTTTTGGCGCAGGGGTAGAAGCTACTCCTGAAACGGACAAGAACAAAACCAGACGGTGTAGATGATGACATCTGGGCAGATTGGCAGGCAGAGGCTTTAACACTGTCTTGCAATTTCATGAAATGGCATATATTTTTATTTATGTATTCCTTTTTTTTTTTTTCTTTTTTTCTTCCTTTTTTATTTTTTCCCCTGCTGTGGTTTCCAGAGGCAGGCAGTAAATGATTTATCCACTGTACTGGTCCCTGTGCTGGCAGAACTGTAGCATAGTGCACTGACTGGGAAGCCTTAAGTTCTAGGCTGGCCTTGGACTCTTGACTCCAGATCCTTAGGAGGAGGGGTGAGTTAATGGAGGGGATTTACTCGTGTGTTTGAATGGTGCAGTATAGCATTACCTCTCCTTCCCGACCTGGTTCTCTAAAAGCTGCGTAAGGCATAAGAAGTTACCTTTCAGCTGATTTTTAGAAAGCTGCTGACAGGGAGGAAATAAGCCTAGTTTGAAGGACTCTTTCTTTAGACTACTTCAAGCCAGGCACAAATACTTAGTAAATTCAGAGTTTGTTCTAGACTTTTAAATGGCATGAAGCAGGGAAGAAAATGTATCAACCAGCATTCTGTTACTATTTTTTTTCCAAATGCGTAAATGTCTTAATGGTAAAAAGTACAAGTAGTAGATTTCTTAATTCTTGCCAAGGGTGGAAATGAGTGCCCAATTCGTAGCTAAGGGAAGCTGCACAAAGATCTTAAATTTTGCCCATGGAAACAGGTAGTAGGAAAAGTGGGCAAAGACAAACTATCTTTTTTTAGCCTGATAGGCCCCAAACAGTTTTCAGAAATAGCAAGTGAAAGTAAGTGATGATAGCAGAAGTTTGTCTAAAAATAGAGATCCACAGCCATCCACCAAAGTGGTGCATCCCACAGCATGGTAGAACTATACTTCTTCAGTGCAAAGGGCAAGAGAAATCACATGAGAGAGGTTTTTATGTGGCATTTGATGTAATACCATGTTGGTTTATTACTCCCTCGGAACATTGCAAAAAGGTAAAGGGAGGAAAATCATTCTCTGCGGTGGCACTCGGTTGTCTTCTGCCTGCTGCACAGAGTAGGTGCAAACTGCCTGCGTGCCACCACTGCGGGAGTATAAAGCAGACCTAAAATTGATTTTACTTGACTCCTCTGCCTGTGTCTGTCATGGAAAAGGAGAGAGAGGTGCAGGTTATGGTTGCTAGTCCATCCTTTCTGATAGCTATTTTCAGCCAAAACGGAAGTATTCCTGGTTGTAACCAACTTGAGCAAAATAATGCAGCTGCAGAGTGTGATACACCCTGCCTTAGAGGAGAAGCCTGAGGCTCCACAGTTAGGATTAGTTTCTGGGGTTTGTTTTCCAATCCCACCTCCCGCTATTCTTGGGCTGTCTTGTTGCTTGCAGCGCGAACGCTGATGACCATATGTTAGCAGTTCTAGGCTCTGGTAAAATGAGTCAGGCTCCTGTAGTCATTCCCACGAAGCTGTACAGCGGCTGGGGGGTGCAGCGAGCAGAGCCGTTAGGATTGCTCGGGTGGGTGGTGGAGAGTAGTGGAATACCTGCAGGAAATAAAACCTGTGTCAGAGCTGCTGCGAGGGAAACAGCGTTCCCTTTTCCAGTAGGCTGACTGAAGAATCTTCAGTTTGCAGACAGCACACGTGCAAGGTAATGTTTTCAATTCTTAATCAAATATAATATTTCTTCAAGAAGGTGCTTTCGTGGCGCAGCCAGAACCTAAGCAACACGGAAATGAGTACCAACCACTTGGGATACCACCCTGTCGGATTTGTTTACAAACTTGAGATTAACATAGAAACAAAATAACACTTTAGGAACTGTGGTAGCTGTGAAGAATATGAAAAGTCCTGTTACAACTGTCTGGTAAGGAAATGGTAGGGATGATCCTCACACCAGTACTCGTATTAGGCTGTGTTCATCTCCTGTCAGAGATGAAAAAAAACAAAGGTAAATGTCAAATAATTAGATGAGAGAAGGACTCATGTAGCTGTGCACTTGAAAGATGGGTATTTAGAAATGCTTGATTAGTGGGGAAACAAAGTACATTAGCAAAGGAGTATCAGTCACTGCTTTTTCTCATAAGAACTGACAGGCTAATGCAATTAAACCCATATAATATGGCACTTTCCACCTACTGTTTAAATGTCGTGTCCTCTACCAGTTAATTTCAGAGACTGTATTGCTTTACCAAGTGTACGAGAAAGGTTCAAACCCAGTGTATCTTGATTGTGTCTCTGGCCATGTCATCCAGGGTGGGATTACAAAAGTAACTGGCACTTGTATTTCATGCGTTCAGTGCAACGAATTCATGCAGTGGATTCATTTTGGGGGTTGGGGGAGGGGGGTGGTGGGGAATAATCACTTATCTGCATTTGCTGCAGTACTTCATGATTCACATTTAATCTGTCTGGCACTTGATACAAGGTACAGGTGTGGACAGCCTGCTTCAGGCTGGCTGTAACGTCGACAGAAGAGATACCATCCAAGACACTGAATGACCTGTGATTATTCCTCTGAGAGCTGAATTTGTGTTTGAGAACCCAAGAAAAGCTTACAGGTGGAACGTTTATTT